GTCCCTAATGAGAAGGTCATTTTAGACAAAATAGAGAATAGTGACCAGTGACTATAATCTCAATTTGGGAGACAGGGGAATAGTGAATTTAAAACACAATAAACAAATAATTTATTTCACTGTTACTCCTTGTCTATGTGCCTGAGGGTTCCAGACAAAGTGAAAAAATAATTCTACCCCCTTTTTTTTATTGTGAAAAGAAGAAAAAAAAACATAAACAAAAAACAAGTTTCCACCTCCTCCCAGCCTCCCATTTCCCTCCCCCTCCTCCCACCCTTCTCCCCCTCCTCCCACCCTTCTCCCCCTCCCCCCACTCCTCTCCCCCTCCCTCTCCAGTCCACAGAGCAGTCAGGGTTTTCTGCCCTGTGGTAAGTCCTAGGTCCTCCCCCCTCCGTCCATATCTAGGAAGGTGAACATCCAAACTGGCTAGGCTCCCACAAAGCCAGCATATTAAGTAGGATCAAAACCCCGTGCCATTGTCCTTGGCTTCTCATCAGCCCTCATTGTTCCTACCCCTTTTAACACAATAATCTAGGAGACTTATTGATATGTAGAAAATTACTAATAGTTGTTTCAAAATTAAATGATCAAATAAATTCATGTTTGTGGAGGGCTGACATTCTTAAATGCATATGTCTCAGGTTGTAGGAGGAAAGGTGATAACCACTGAAACAAAAGACTGACCATTATATTTTGTCATACTATGCTGAAATACATGTGGATTCTAAGGGTTTGACATATATGCTGATATATATATAATATATATATACATATATAATATATATATCTAATTACTAAATTCACTTCTAACATTATACTTTTAACATTTTTATCCCAATTAATTGCAAAACACGTAATTTGGATAAGCTGTGCTCTTAGTTTTTAGTTTTTTTAGTGTTATTGTCAAATCCATTATATACGTCATTATTCAAACAAATAATGATACAGATAGAATAAAGACAAAACATAAAAGATTAAATATATCTATTTGTCAATGAATACTATTTGACAGAAAATTAAGGTTACTGTTTCTCTTCTTTTCAATGGCTTCATTAAAAACCCTTTCTGATTATAAATTTTCAGGTAAGATTTTTTAAAAAAAAGAATCACTGTCTTAATATTTCATTTTATTTTTAAGATATTATCTTTGTTTTATTTTTGTGTATGTGTGTATGTGCGTGTGTGCACATGCCCGCACGTGTCTGTAGAAACCAGAAAAGGGTGTCCAATTCCTTGGAAATGGAATTAGAGGCAGTTGTGAGCTGCTTGATATGGATGCTTGGAACTGAGAACAGCAGCTTGCTCTCTCTGCTGAGCTACCTTTCCAGGTTCAACCTTAAACATCTTGATTAACCATGATGGTCATTTAGTGACTGATTCTGTCTCTCTCTATCACTAGCTGTTTGGGGCTGCATTCAATACACTGTATTACTATTTACAGGACAATTGCCTTCTCTAAACATCTCTTCTGCTTCTAAAGCCTGAAATAATTCTGCTGTTTCAAAAAAATCAATTCAGTAAATATCTTATAATAGGACTCCTTACTGTTCCAAATGTGCACTCTACAGTACAGGAAAGGATAGGTATTCATAAAGTAAAGAGGTAAAATTGCTCTTAACAAAGGAGCCTTGTGCCTGGCATTCATGCTTTTGAAAGCTCTGCTTTGAGTTTGTATAAGAGAAATAGATCAGTCAAGCTTGGACAAAGCACATAAAATTTCAAAACAATATGGAATATTCATTACTTCCAATACCCTTTTCACAGAAAATTGTATTGATTTCTAGGGGGACAGCGCATCCTGCACAAAGACACACACACACACACACACACACACACACACACACACACACACACACACACACACTCACTCACTCACACACACAAACAAACACACAGACAAACAAAACCAAAACAAAATAGTAATTGAAAACTTGAGCTATATGGACTGAATCAAGTCTCAGTTCTGCCATTACTAGCCTGTGTAAGTACTAGTCATTTACTCTATCCTCACTAACATATACACACACGCACACACATACACACAAAAAAATGTACCCAATAATAACATTTATCTCAGAGTCTTATTTAATGGATCAATGTTAATGATGAATGTATACAAATGTATATACCTGCACACTTTAATCCTTTGAAAAAGAAAGAAATCTCCTAATTATTTTTATAGCAGAGAAAATATCATATTATTTCAAACAGAAACTTAAGGGATTGTGAAACTTACAGAGTATCATGTCTAAGTGTGGCTAAAGCCCTGGTGACTGTGATAAAAGCCACATGAATCGTGAATAAAGCAGAAAATATTTTAGAAGGGAGATGAAAAGAAAATAAATCATTTGTGGATATTTCAAAACTTCGATGTCAAATATATAAGTAAAATTATGTAGCTCTGTGTAATATGCATAGAAACAGATATTTGCCATTTACATTTTCCTTAAAGCAGAAAAAGGTCAATGTCTCTAGGAATACCCATATAGTTAATTATAAAAAGAAAATAGATAATCTACAAAATGCTATAAGTGAAATATCAACTAAAATGTGTAAATAAATTCCTATCAAAGAATGCTTTGTCCTACACTTTATACCCAACAAAAAAAATAATGAAACAGCTTAGTGTTTGGAACACCAAGAAATTCAAGTTTACGTTAAAATAGCATAATTTTATAATAAAGTACAAAATGCCAAGTGTGGACAGTTTGTCTCCTACTGTAATTACTTTTAAAAGAACACACTAAAAGAATTTTTTGATAACCACAATTTTATACAAAAGATCATAAATATCTACAGGGCATTAATAAAGAAATTGGCATGACACTCAATATCTGAGGGAGTTATATCCTGGATCTTTCAAGGGAGCTGGGCGATAAGGAGATTAAGGGGGGATTTGAACAACAATTACAACAGCAGCAAAGAAAGATATGAAAACAAGGAAAGATAAAGGAACATTATGATAACAAATATTTGAGATAACATGTGGATATAGATACATATAATATATGCATAAATATACAAAATACAAGGGTGTGAATGTGATTAAATATGAGTAGGTAAATTAATAAGTCACAAATGACAAGAAGGTTTGTTTAAAACATACCTTAAATTCTCAGTTAATTTACACAGAGACTTAGTTACTTCTAAGAGAACGAATGCACTAGGAAGGTTATCTGGGGATGTTTAAACCGGCAGACACTAAAGTACTATCCTCTTGAGCCTATCATTTTTTTGATTAGGAGGAAAGTTTATAATTTGTTTAAAGGCACAGAGCTGATTATTAGCAGAGAGGGTGCTACAATGGAGCACCTTGATTTATTAATTCAAATACAGATTATCATGGCAGACATCTGAATATTCTTTAGTCATTTACTCTGAACAGTGTTAATCCTGGTAATCCAATGAAATAAGTAAACTGAAACTTTTATTTTCAATCAAGTTCAATGTTTTCAGTACTTTAAAGAATTAAATGTTTAACAGCAAGTAAAGTGTTATGAAATATAAATGTTGTATTGTTTGATTTCTGATCTATTAATGAGCAAAAATAAGCAATGCTACTGAACTTGCAACATGAGATTCCTAAGGTACTAAGATTTGTATGATGTAATTGAAAATAGTGGCAACTTCCCAATTTTTTGTGTATCAAATTCAAAATCAACTTACTATCAATAAGTATATAACAGTCATTCTTTATGAAGCAAGCAGTGGAATAACCAATAAGGACTTTTTGAAATGATTAAAAAGCACCTACTTGGGGAAAAATAGTCTTCTTGCATTTACCTGCCAACCTCTATGTTTTAAATATATCAGCATGACTTAGTTTAATCAACCTCTTATCTCTGAAAATGAATTGGAAAAAAATGTATAGGAGCATGCCATTGTTGTGTTCCCAGGACAATTGTAGGCCTTTGTGAAACTGTGTAGCACCAACCCTCCATGCACTTGACTTCTCTGTGGGACCTTCTCTAAGAAGGGCAAATAACTAAAAGTACTAAAAATTGCATAAACTATTACATATTGTGTTATAATGAGTTCTTTGACAGAACTACCATGTTCAAACTCCATCCCTTTCCCTTTCAATATTTGAATTCTTCTCAAAATCTGTGTAGTGTAATTATGTGAAAACAGTATAAGAAGTATTAACTGAAGCAATTTTTATATCAATTGTTTTCGACTTAGTTTTTCTTCTTCCAATTTTAACTTCTTTTCTTCCATTTTCCTTTCACCCGTACTCTCTCATTTACATACCACACACAGACACACACACACACACACAGACACATTAATGTACACACACACACACACACACACACACACACACACACACACACAATGTTTGTTAGCCAGCCCAGTAATTGAATCAGTTCAGAATGTCAGCACTATAAATACATTAATAAACACAGATTGAAGTAGTAAGGGCAGCGGGGCTGCGTCCCCAACACCCCGGCCACCTGCCCAGCTAGCTTATGCCCCAAAATAACAACACACAAACTGTATTCTTTTAATCACTGCTTGGCCCTTTAGCCCTAGCCCTTACTGGCTAATTCTGTTATCCCGATCAACCCATCTCTAATAATCTGTGAGAACTGGTCTTACCGGGAAGATTCTAGCCTATGTCCATCCTGGGTCGGAGCTTCATAGCGTGCATCTGCCCAGGAGCCAGGAGCATGGCGTCTCTCCCTGAGGCGTCTGCTCCCGAGAGAGCTGTGGAGTCTCTGAGCTCACTTCCTGTTCCTCCCAGCATTTTGTTCTGTTTACTCCACCCACAGGGCCAAGCAGTTTCTTTATTGGCCAATGACCTTCCTCCATCAACAGATGGCCATTTCATCCCCTTACTGCTAAAATGATTTTGTAAGCAGATTGTTTTCCAGAAAATTCATGGAAATATACTGTCAGCTGTACATCACTGTACAGTCTTGTGAGCTCCAATAGCTGGTCTAAAACCTTTTTGAAGTATCAATAAAATGACTGCTAATGATATTCTGCTATACTCATAGATCACTGCCTTATCCAGCCATTATCAGCGATGGGAACAGATGCAGAGACCCACAGCCACCTTTATGTGGAGAAAGTCTAAATGGAAGGATTCCACCAAATACCTCCCCTCAGAGCTCAGAGAATCTCATGGAAGACGGGGCAGAAAATTTGTAAGAGTAAGAGGGGATGGAGGACATTTAGAAGACCCTCTGAATCAACTAAACAAGTCTCATAGACAGAGACTGAAGTGTCAAGCACAGGGCGTACATGCGTTTGTGCCAGGTTCTCTCCATACATATTATAGCTACTAGATTAGTATTTTTATTGGACTCCTGACTGTGGCAACAAGTGGATCTCTAATTATTGTTCCTGTTCTTTGGACACTTTTCATCCTGTTGAGTTTCTGTGTTCAACATCCAAATGATAGTTTTTGCTTCATCTTATTATATTTTATTTTGTCATGCGGGATTGTTGTCTCTTGGAAGCCAGCTCTTTTCTAATGAGAGACAGAAAGGGAGTGGGTATGGAGGGAAGAGAGAGATGTGGAAAGGACCATGGAGGAGTGGAGGAAGGAAAAACTGTAATCAAGATATATTGTATAAGAAAAAAAACACTATTTTCTCTTTTAAAAAATGCTAATTAATTCTTTGTGGATTTCCCAACATGCATCCTGATCCCACTCATGTCCCCATCCCCTAGCTTCTGGTTTTTACCCTTGCAACCTCCCCCACGAAACAAAATTTAAAAGTAAAACAAGATAAAAACCAAACCAAACAAAGATCAAATAAAAAGTCTTTACATGTAAGTGTTCATCACAATGAGTCATTGTTCTGGTTCAAGGAATCTGGTTTTTGCAAAACTGTTGATACTGGGCTGTGATTGGTAATCCTTTTGGATATCCCATGGTTGTCTTATGTCTTGGAGATCCTGGAGCTTTGACTCTGAAGGTCTGACCCCTTCCCATGCTCTAGAAGTTCATAGATGAGGTGGGCAACATGGGTTTCCTTGTAGTCCTGGTTCTGAGCCTGGGTGGTATCTGGATTGATCCAGCTGCTAGCTTTACCTCATTATCACCACTCAGACAAACTCTACAGCACTGCCTCAGCTAACTTGCCCAATGTAGCAGACAGCAGGGAATGGGCAAGTTCTCCTGCTCTCACACCGTTGGGTCTAGCTCATCTGCACCCATCCACCAGAGCCAGCTCTATTATTTTGTCCAGGTGGGGTACAGGACCTGCTCTACTCACCCTATTGCCTCAGTTGGTGAGGAAAAGGGCCAAGTCCTCCATTCTCATGCTCCCTGATGTCAGCTCTCCCCGCATCCCAGCTAGCAAGGGATTGGGACAGAGAGCTTATTTCTGTTAAACTTGTCATCCAATGCTATAACAGGGAAAGAATAGGGGCAACTCTACTGTTTTGCCCAGGCAAGGTGTAGGGCCCTCTCTCCCATGTTCTGCAGCTTGTGGGGGTCATGGCCAGCTGCTTCACTCTCCTGGCCCTGGGCCAAGCTGTCAAGGTGGCAAGGGTCAAGAGGAGGGAGAGCATTTTTTTTATCACCCTTGCAACATCATGGCAGATAAGGAGTAATGGGGTCAGTTCTCTTTCTGTTATGCCCTCTGGGCCATCTCATCTGCACTCCTACCATCAGAGGCAACTCTAATGTGTTACCCAGGTGAGTTGAAGGACCTGCTGTCTTTAGTGATGCTGTTGGTTGGAAACCATGAAAATTCTCTTACTGCCATGTCCTCAGGGCCAGCTCTCTCACCTGTCACAGGAGATGAGGGGTGAGGGAGGTCATTTCACTCTTGTTCACCCCACCATATGGTGGATGAAGAGTGTAGCTAGATATCCGACATGACTTGCAATCACAGGAAGGTGGTACTATGTGGATTTCTATCTATGATCAGCTGTACTATGGTGCCCAGACTAGGTACAGAGTGCTGTTAGGAGTAGACTCTCCCACTCTCGAATAGTGAAGGCTGGTTCTTCTGCTGTAGCAGGAGTTCTAATAGGTCTTAATAATATATTAATGATATATATGTATTATATATATATATATATATAATCTTCAGTCAGATATTGATGAATATGTGGAAAGATCAGAGAGATGAAGGAGCAAAACCACGGTCACCTTACCTCTCCACTTCCCAGATGAAGGGAAGCTAAGTTCCTCTCTCCACCAACATTATCACTTCCTTTCTCTGCCCAATCATATCACGTCCTCTCTCTGTGTACAGACCTGTAGACGTATATGGTTAGCTGTGGCTACCTCTGCCCTCTGGTATTCAGGCAAGCTTTATTTGTAAAAACAAGATAGCACCACATTTCTCCTATTTTTTTTCTAAATTTTTTTAAAAATACTTTTGCTAACGTAGGAAAAATTATATAAATAGATACAACAGGTATGTACAATATAAGCATGTAATAAATTCATTAGCAATGTCTAGTCCATTAACAATTGATAAATTCAGAGAAAATACTCCATATGTCTCCTATCTTGGTGAGTCCAAAAATTCTACCTAATTCACTTTCTGTTCCAGATTGTATTAACTATCTTTTCATGTCTCTCAACCTTTATAGATCTTTAATGACTTTCTTCTTCTGAATCTGATAACAAGGAAAACTGTAACTATTAAGTCTTCATCAGAGATCCAATGAGGAAATAATATTACATGAGTAAACAGGAAGTACAAGCAAACAACATCCAAAAAATATAAGAAATTGTGGAAACAGCAAACTGCCTGGACAGTCATCCAAGGTTCCTCTGTAAAGTTTGGGTACCCATATTTGGTCTATAGGCCTAGCATATCTGACAGACATTTCTGTGAAGCAGGATATTCTGAAGGGTTGTCCTCCCTTGTCTTGGCAAAGTTTGGCAATCATTTCTTTTGTGTCCTCCTTGTCCAGTCTGTACAGCATACTGTCAGCCATTAAGGCAAGAGCACTTTTTTAGCCAGTGGCTGATATTTGCCACAAAAAGAATGTCTTCGATGACTGTTATCTTCTCTGAAGTAAATTGGTTCTCTCAGTAGCAGACATGTTTTATTGTCATAAAAAGAAAAGAAATGCCATCTTCTTTACATATCTGAAATACTTGAAGATGATCTGTCTATCTAAAATATATCTTTATATGACCTTGAAAACCTACTTAATATAACTACAAGTTTTATTGCAATAGATGATTAATTGATAACCTGTACTTCCTATTATCCTAAATACTTGGTAATAACATTCAAGGGCTAAATATATGCATTATAAGGTTAAATGAATTGCATAGTTACCATACCTTGAACAAGATTACAAATGTAAGCACATTATGTTCTAACAAAAATAATCTCAATTTTGTATCAATATACAAAGAATCCAAGCCAATATTTAAAACTAGTAGCTTTTTTATTTAAAAGTAGTTTGAATAATCTATCTTTTAATTCAATTTCTATATCCCCCTTATTTCTTTATACAGTAGAGCTGATATCCTATCACATATATGCACTTGCTCATTTTTTCAAAGCAAGAACTCTGAATCTAATTGTTTTCGTTCAACTTTCTTTCTGACTATAACCCCTAACAACATGCAACCAACCCCCCTAAACAATAACAAACATCCATAACCCATTACACAACAACAAAAAGCCACCTACTCCACCTCTTAGAAATGTGGGTATCATATTCTTAAAGTTACTTCCTACTATCTAAGGGTAACGGTATCTTTAGGGAAACTACAAAGAAAATTTTGGGTTAGTTGTCAAGTCCTGGGAGAGGCAACTATAACTTTTGTTGTCTAGTCTAGTCTCTGTGTAAAGGGAAATGCATGGTTTGTCTCATGTCTTGACTAGAATAGTCTGTAAGGCTGGATTGTCTCAGCCAACTCAAAATTGTCCTGAGCAATTTTTAGCCCAAAGCTGATCTTTAGGTATTGTTTTTCAGCTCAGTGGTATTATCATAGTCCTGGTGGAATTGTCCTTGTGGGGTCCCATCCTTCATTTTTTTTTTGAGACTTCAAATGTCACTGTTGGACATGGTCTTGGTTCACTATAGAAAACTTAGACATTTAAAATGTCATGTATATCAGATCTCAAAGAGGTTAAGGAAAATCTTCAAAGACTCAAAATACAATCAAGGATTATGAGATTAGTGGCAATAAATTAGTCTTTTAAATTATTTGTCTTCTGTTCTAAATTATGTGTCTCTTCTCACATGAGACAGTGATTTGGCCTTTACTTTAATGAACATGCTTGGGTTTAGAGAAGGGAGAGTCACACTCCAACTCTAAAGTCAGCTTTAATGTTTAAGTTGACTGGGACTACAAAAAGACCATTTGTATTATGTATGTCTGTAAAGAATAGCAGAAACAAACATTTGGGAAGATTTATAAAATTTTATACTGATGGAAATGTGATATTCCAAAAGATCAATTGACTCTTTTTCTTGAGACATTTTTTCAGGATGATATGTCCTTTTCCTTCAGACGTCTTATATATTCAGTGTTTTTGGATTTCTTAGCTGAATGCCTTTGTTCTCATAAAAATGAAAAAAAACAAAACAAAACACTCCCCAACCCTAATTTTGGGGTTCCCTTATGACAAGTTATATCTGATCAAATGAAAAGCATTTGCTAGTTTTAAAGTTAGTTTAGATTGAATGGTCACACTGTCTGATTAAATATTACCTCTTCTAATCAAGGAGTATCTCTTATTCAAATCAAATATTCATCAATTTTGATGGTATCTATAGGTTTTCTTCTCCTGTAGAAACAAAAGCAAAACTCCTTCCCCAACATAACACATGTGCTGGCTGCCATTCTGAGTTTAGCATACCTTTAAAATAAATGGCTGATTTAATTCCATAGTTTTTCTACTATCTAATGTCTCTCCACAGCTGTTGTTCCTTTCACATTAATATTTAGAAAATTCAAAGTTAATAAAACATTATGTAATGTATTTCTAGGGGCCTTTATCATCACTTATTTTATTGTTAGCATATCCTTTAGAGTTCAGTTTGATGTTTCTATAACTGGTTGCTCTGTAGGATTGTGTGGTTTACCTGTAATATTCTTTATTTTATAATAAGCAAAAACTATATAATTTTCATAGAGACATATGCTGGTCCATTGTCTATCTTTATTTGTACAGGTATACCCATGATGGCCATAACATCTAACAAATATGCGATTACCAAATCAGCCATTTCCAAATTTAAAGCAGTTGCTTATTGAAAACCTGATTTGGTTGCAATGGTGTGGTGTACATACATATTTTAGTTTTCCAAATTTGACAAAATGGAACCCATCCATCTGCCATATTTCATTCCTTTGAGTACCAGTTGGGTTACTTCTCATAGTGGTACTTGGTTGTATAAAGAACAAATAGTACATTTCCTTAACAAAATACCATACGATGGAAAA